GTATCCAAGATATGTGATTGTAGGCAACTCTATTTTGAGAGTGTGTTCACATATATTACAAAAGATAAGCATTTATTAAATTTCCTCCCACATGACCATCACACCAGATCCAAAGATCATTCAGTACGCATACCAAAGCCTAAAAAGACCATAGGTCAGAGGAGTTTCACTTTCCTAGGACCAAAAATATATAACTTAATCCCCCCTCAGATAAAAGATATTAAAAATACAAAGGTTATGAAAAGGCATCTATGACTGTGGATTTTGGACCAGCACAGGCTCAAGATTATTCAAGCGATTGATGTCAAAAATATCTACTACTACTGAAAGCGGAAATCTCTCTAGATATTTGAAAGTTCAAAATGAAAAAAAAAATGTATAAATCAAACTGATTTGAATTCTTACCCCCTGAATTATTGCATTTTATGATTTATTTTTACCAATTTTTGTTCTTGTCTATTCACCTAATATTGCCTTTTGTTTCAATATTGTCTCTATCCCGATTGCGTCTACGTCCCGATTTTGCGTCTCCGTCCCGATTGTCTTTTTAAAAATTTTATCAGGACTTGTCTAATGAATTTTATATACATATATTTTTTTTATGTTTTTTTTTAGTCTTAAGTTATTTATACATGAGCTCATGCCCAAGCACAAGTTTCTGCGAAACTTTTTTGGGTCCATTCGTTTATTGTATAATATTGTCTTTCATCTACTACTGCTATACTTTTTCTTTTGCAATAAACTTTATTATTATTATTATTATACTTATTTATTTCCTTAATTCGGACTTGTAAACCGATGTATTTACCACTCATGTTGCTGGCATTATCGTAGCCTTGCATACGACAATATTTGATATCAATGCCACTCTCACTTAAGAAATCTAGTAAACTTTGAGCGAGTTGTTCAACAGTCCAAGAACTTAACAAATCTTTCCACTGGTCCAGATGGCAGAACATACCGCACTATCAGAGTCAGTTGGTCTACATGTGATATATCTGCAGTAGAATCCAATAAAACTGAGTAGTATTTGCATCTATTAATTTCGCAAATAATTTGATCCAGTATGCTTGATGCAATTAGTTGCATAAATTCCTCACAAGTTGTTTTTGATAAATATGATGTATGCCCCTTTCCTTTATTAGCATGATTTTGTATATGTTGAGCCATAAAAGCGTCAAATTGGGCGATTAATTCTAACAAGCTTGAATAATTTCCATTGTGAGGTGAAACAACAATTTCGTTACTACCCCGAAATGCAAGAGCTCGTTCTGATAAAAACTTTATTACTGCAATGATTCGTTTTAACAGTAGCCTCCAATACTTTTGCTCAGTCTCAATTTGGCTCACAAGTTGAGAATCAACACGCTTATTCTTGTTCTTGAGGTTTAACAGCGAAATTCTGGCTTGTCTATGCGGAGTGCTTTCTTCGTGTCTTGTCAACAAATTGTGCGCATCCTTCCAATCATCTAATCCGTCTTTCGTAAACCGTGGTGACGAACTATCTAAATGCGTAACTTTGCAAACAAAACAGAAAAGTCGTCCTTTGGTTTCCGAATAACACAACCAGTCTCTGACGTGAGTAATCAGTCACAATAATCAGAAATCAGTATAAAGCACAAACTTATAGCTTTGTGTTCTTAGTTACTGTTCTTACAATAATCACAGATATACACACAGAATTCATAAGCATTACAAGTAACATGTACCCACAATTCGCACAATAAGCACTATACCTCTTCCATATTAACAGCATGACATTCTAAGTTAAAATTCCATGTCACATTTTTTATTCTAAATATAACTTAGTATTCCAAGTTACCTGCAGTATTTCAAATATGCTGTACTTCCTCTATGTAGCCCAGCAATTTTTTAAAATCTTTCGTTTGTTTCAGTGTGAAAATGGTGCAACAAATTGATTATAATACTGATATGGAAGACACCGGTTCTATATTGCTCGTCCAATCTTTTACCCAAAAACGTTTTTTTGCCTATGTTACTGGCTCTTGGAACAATAAGAGTACAAGAAGTGCTGCGAGCTTTTTTTTCTTAACCTCTTAGTTAACAAAATTGTTCTATCGGCCGATCAGATCTGACAAAATGTTTGTGTGTGTGGAAAAAGCACAGTTTTCTTGAAGTTCAGAATCTGTTAGTCTCTCTCTGTCTGTTCGAGAAAGCTTGAATCTTCAGTTCAGGTTGTACAGTCCCCAGAACTGCAGGCGAACTGTATGTGAATGGGTACCTTTAGGCTTGCTTTTGTCAACCAATTATCATATCATCTAATCATCATAAAACATCAAGAGAATATCATGGATTTAACACAAAACATGTAATTCCTTGTCACGCATCACTACTATCAGTCATTGTTCTGATCCATGCGCAGTGGGCGTATGCTCACTTTTAGCATGATATTATTTAGAACAGGTTCTAAAAAAAAGTGTTACTCAATCTATTCAGACAAAAGTATGTTCTATACTAAGTGACATATAAATCCGAACAGCCAGTTTAAATGGTTTTATTTTAATAAAATTTTGTATAAGTACTTAATGAAGCATAATAAGTAAATGATAAAAATTTCAAAATGATTGCACTGCTTTAAAGCCCTTTGACCTTTAATAATGTGTGGATGCACCCTGATGTGCTACGCATTCTCCAACGCGCCTAGGCATGCTTCTGATCAGGTGGTCAATGTCCTCCTGTGGTAAATATGGGTCAGAACAGGATACGAAGTTTCATTTGTTGTAATAGAAATTGGTCTTTGTTTTCGTGTACACAGTGGGTTGAACAGATACAGTTATTTCTTCATCTCGTTTGTATGACTCCTTGGTTTAGTGGCCATACATTGGAACCTTGACAATTAAGGGTAAACTTAACAAAGTTTAGTGCTTGGCTTGTATCAGTGCGGCCATCTTCCACCGTTGGATCTAGTAATCTGCAGAGAGGCGAGAGTAATCACACATCGACTGTGGAGTCAGGGCAGCTGGGCCTTCATGAATCCTGTCAAAGGTCACAGGACCATCTTAGTCGAATTGCAAAGAGAGGATCCCGTACTTCTGATTATGGGTAATCTGATCATCCCTGAGGATCGCTTTAACCGCAAATTCAATGTGTAGTATTTGACGAGGGTGGAGTGCGACTCGGGAAACTGGAAGAACTCTGAAGAAAGTAGGCAAGTCTGGTACACGGACGGCGCGGCGCGGTTACTGAAGAGGGCTCTGGTGCCGGGGTCTGTGGGTCTAGAACTATGCTTTCACTGCCTCTTGATCGATATACCATTTTTCAGTCGGAAATGTAAGCGATTCTGACTTTAATATCCCGTATTCTAGAGAAAGAAGGAGCTATAAACAAACATCTTCTCCAACAGCCAGGCTGCAATGAAGGCACTAAGTACCTGCAAGATGACTGCCTTGTGTCACAATAAAGGGAGGCATCTGGACAGCTTAGCAGCGAGGCATCTGGTATCGTTAGTGTGGGTACCGAGGCACGCTGGAATGAATGATAATGATATGGTGGACGCTAAGAAAACATGATCAGCGAGGGGGGGACTTGTTGAGCCTGAGCCATCCCCAGGTGTGCTCACGCGTAGAGTCAGCATGATAACGGAGTAGTGAATATCTGGACAACACTATTTGAAATGGAGAACCATCTGTAGACATCTCAATGACTATCACCTTTCGATAGAGCCAACCTAAGGTTGCTGGTGGGATTGTTATCTGGCCATAACACGATGTGGTGTCACCCGCACGTGATGGAGGTGGCTAAAGATCCCATGTTTGAGCGCTACAGGGTAGAGGAGGAGTCCTCGATGTATTTTCTGCATCGCTACGAGATTCTGAGTTACTGCAGGCAGACTATACTGGGGTACAACACCTTGGATCCCCAGAATGTTAGCGAACTGGAACTCAACTTCGCTAGAAGGGCGGAGGTTCAGGCTTAGGGAATGCAGTAGTGCGTAAGATTCCGTGGTCTACGCGCCAGCTGCCCAGATAAAATATAGAATCAATTCCTGCCAACCTTTACAAATTATTGAGAAATATATGCTAGTTCTGTATATGTACGTTATACTGTCATACTATGGCAGTGTTCGGAATTAATTATTCAACTTTCTTTTAAGCTGTGCTTATAGAGACATTGAAATAAACTTTAAACGTCTTCCTAGAGATAACCTGATCCCTACTTTGGAATCAACGACTGCAAAACATATATTACATACGTCTGGATTCGAATGTTAGACTTATTTTGAGTTTGTCCTTCAAGTGGCCTTGGAATGATCTCTAAATGTTTCCATAGTACCCTGCTTCTCGGCTTCTTTAGGACCGTATCGTCAGTCGTTCCTGCAATTTATGGCCTCCTTAATTTTCATAGTTTTCTACTGTTCCATGTCAGCGCTCTATTTTGAGGTTATGTTACAAATATCTATTTGCATCAATTGTTCATGCTTTTGATTCATATTATCTGTTATTATCTGCCTTTCTGAAGCAGAGAAAATACTATGAAAATCAAGAGGAAATTCAGGCATTCCAATTGTAGGAACGACTAACGATATGGCCCTTAGACTTTTGTATGCCCGCTTATTCGCGCCTAGCTGCCACGTCAAGAAGCTGTCATATATTTGAATAGGTTAATTTGGCTACGAATGCTAAAGAGCTCGTCAGGACGTCGCGGTGGGGGAGAGCCCGAATAAACGTTTTTTCACTACTAACACAAGACGTTAACATTATTGAGCGCAAAGCCTTATGAAGAAGTAGCATTTTTTCCCTGTGAACCATTTTTTCACAATAGTACAAGACCGGTTGATTTTATAGTGATTAAATAATAGGTCATATCCATATCGCCCCAAAAATTTGAAACTTGATGCTGATTATTAGTTTGGTTTTTGTTGGATCCAGTTTGGCTTGATGTAGTGACAGTTGTATTTTTAATGGGACATGAACTTTTTTCTAATATAAACGAGCACTCATATTTCATACAGCGAATCATCATCTTTGTGTTTGTTTTAGAGACTCTACCAGATGCTCTAGCAAATGGATGTTCCAAATGCAACGACAAACAAAAACAAACAGCAGAAAAAGTCATTAAGCATTTGATGACGAAGAAGGCCAAGGACTGGGAAAGGCTATCTAAGAAGTACGATCCAGAAGGTGTTTACAAAAAGCGCTATGAAGAGCTGCTTAGGAAGTCTTCTTAATAGGTTTATTTCATACTTAGCTATAGGATTGTTTTAGTTTATCCTCTATCAGTAGAAAGTGAGATGCTAGCATGTGAGACTGTGAGACTATGAGACATTAAAATAACATGTTTGTCTGTCATTCTTGTTTTTTATTTGACGAGTTGCAAGAAAAGCTACACTTCATTTTAGAAATATAGAGGGTGTTCAGATAAGGACGCTCGAAAGTTAAAATGGAAAAAAAGGAAAAAATTTAAGTCAGCACTAAAAGTCTATATTGATCGTAAATAGCATTCGACGACATTATGTATGGAAGATTATATCGTTTAAATGGCCACCGCGACTGCGCTGTACAGCGTGCATTCGCATGGTCCAATTTTCGAGCACTTTTCCGCACATTTCAGCGTCTACCTGTCCGAGGACGCGAATGATGTTGGCCCTTAATGCTGCAATTGTTTGTGGCTTATCCGCATACACTTGAGACTTCACGTAGCCCCACAGGAAAAAGTCTAAAGGCGTTATATCGCACGATCTTGGTGGCCAGTGCACATCGCCGCCGCGCGAAATAATGAAACCGTTGAACTTTTCATGCAGTAAATCCAGCGTTGCGCGTGCGGTGTGGCACGTAGCGCCGTCCTGCTGGAACCAGATGTCTGTTAGATCCATATCGTCCAGTTGAGGCCACAGGAAATCATTAATCATGGCGCGATACCGATCTCCATTGACCGTAAGCGCGTTGCCCATAGCGTCCTCAAAAAAATATGGACCGATTACGCCGTCAGCCCAGAAACCGCACCATACAGTCACTTTAGCAGGATGCATAGCAATTGAGTCACTTCAGGATTTTGGTCAGCCCATATACGGCAATTCTGTTTATTGACATACCCATTCATCCAGAAATGCGCCTCGTCGCTAAAGATGATTTTTCGTGCAAATGCAGGGTCGACTTGCAACTGCTCTAGAGCCCATGCGGCAAATGTACGGCGCTGTCCATGGTCTTGCGGTTTCAATTCTTGCGTCAATTGAATTTTGTACGCGTGCAATTTCAAGTCTCGATGCATAATTGTCCATGTTGAGGTCTTTGTAAGGGCAAGTTCTTGTGCACGTCGCCGCAATGACTGATTCGGGTCTTGACGCACGCTCTCTCGCACAGCAGCAATATTCTCGATTGTTCTTACTGTTCGTTGCCGTAAGGGTGTTGTTTGGTCTGCCACTGAGCCGGTTCTCTCAAATTTATTGAGCAGACGTCGAATAGTGGACTCAGCAGGACGGCCATGCGCACCATAAATTGGACGCAATGCGCGGAACGTTTCACGAACCGAACATCTGTTTTGATGATAAATTTTCACAATTTCCACGCGTTGTTGAATCGTGTACTGCTCCATGATTAAATGTCAAGACTAACTTAATAACCTCACAAAATTTGACAGCTGTATCCCCACCGGTTTGGGCGCGCGCGCCGTTCAAACATCGAGCGTCTAGATCTGTGTATGCATATACTGCACCAAAGGTTCGCAAAAACATACAGACACTGGAACCTTTTGAAGATAGAGCCAAGTGTTAGGTTGTCTTAACTGAGACAATTTCATCACACTTAATGGAGATGCTGGGACATATTTGACAATTAAAAAAAAATCTCATAATCCCTTAGCCAAGTGGAACACAGAAAATAGTGTGTCAAGTTCTTGAAAATGGATGCCTTAGAATATATCTGGAAATTGGTTTTAACAACTTTTGAATGTCGCAAATTTTGATATTTGTAAGACGACTATTATGAGTTAAGGCATCAAAAAAAATTTCATGATTTATTGTCTTGCTTGAATTTCAAAGCATCCTAGCATTAACGTATGTATACTGGTAAATTGTCAATGGCAGAAAAATGATATTTTCGGCATGCATTATATTATATTTTCTTGATATCGATAAAATGCTCTATTTTTGTCAAAAACACTACTAGTTTAAAACTGTTCGTGTCTACTATACCGGTGATTGCCTTAGTAACTTCTGAATTTAGAAGGGTATTGATTGTATATCTTACGTCCTGTTAGGCAGAGCTGTTTGATGAATTCGATAAAAAGATTGTTACGCGATTTATGTTTTTCAACCACAACAAGGAGTCTTTAAAAAATATTTATTCGATATACATGGACGTCTTACAAGTTGGAATGATAATGATGTGAATATAAAAAAGAAAAATAGTTTTTACGAAGGTTTCTGATGCCGTTGCGTCTGGCGGTGTCGTCTTGCTGACGCCTCGGGTTCTTGACCTATAACGCCTCCCTCGCTAAGTTGAAAGTCCGTCCTCGGACTTTTGGATTTTTAGATTTTTGCAAGTCGGCTATCGAAATTTTCGGCTTGAAGAAAAGCGTCTGAAGTCTTCTTCTTTTTCTTACGACGAAGTAGATGCTCGCTGTGATAATGAGGAGCATCATGATTGCCATGGACCAAGTTGTTGTAGACGTCGCCGTAGGGATTAGATGTAACGGCTGTATGGTCGATAGCTGTGGTACATCTTTGAATGGCTGCAACTCGTTAATCTGCAAATTAAACTTCTGACGGGTCTTTACAGGGATGATTTCAGGAACTTCGATTTGTTCTGAAGTGGTGCTGTAAATCTGTCCATTAATTTCAATTGCGCATGAAGAATAAACAATTATTGCTGCTTGACTGATATTTCGGTGAGTCAGGGAACATCTTTCAACGATTAGTATTGGCTCGTTTGTACTGACGATCAGGTTTTTCTTTGTTTGGTGGATGACAGGCTGGGAAAGCTTGTGGTAGAAGCAGGTTGACATACGACTTTTGGTCCTACATCGGTGCATGTGGAATACCAGCGATTATCTCCATGGAAACTTGCAGGGGTAGTAGTACAATGCTTTCTTCATTATGTATGGGATAAATATGGTAAATTCGGAAAGAGTGATCGTTAAGGATCGGGATGAGTAATTGAGTATTAGTGGTAATTAATGAATAACGAGAATTTTCGATGAGTTCAAAGAGATGTTAATTATCTGACAAAAGACAATTTGATTTAAATAAAGATTTTATTTTTTCTTCTAAGTCAAGGATTTCGGAAAGTTAAAACAGGTTGTTCTAGTGCAGATAGGTTTATACTTCTAATTAGCTTCAATGTGAATTGATTCAAACGATCAATATTACGAATTTCACTTTGAAGAGTAATAAACTGTTCATCTCTAAGATAATTATCAATCAAAAAACATATTAATTATAATTAATATGTTGTGTAATTATAGCTGTATTATTATTTATAGTTTCGATTAGAACATTATATCTTTTTATTGTTTGTGATGCATAACTTGTCGAATTATTTAGTACATTATGTCATTTTGTTTATTTTCAATACTGAAGATATGCTTTTCCAAAAATATACGATCGTTTTCGTCAAGCTTGCCAGTCACTGATTTAATAAAAGTTCCCAAAAAGTTAACAATTCCACGCTTATACTATTCGTCATTGTCTGTCAGAGCGGTCCGTAGGACCTTTGCTCTTGGTTGAAGTCTTGTAAGTCAGTAGGTCTGTCAGGTCTGGTTGCCCAAATACCAAACAAAGTCAGGGAGAAAGAAGGGAAGAAGAAAGGAAGGAAGGAAGGAGGGAGAGCAAAGAAAAAAGAAGTGCATCAATTTGAGGGGTGCCTTGGCATTGCTAGTTAGTATTCGGCAATTTTAAATTGATCCTAAAATTAATTTTGGGATTGGTTGTTGAAGAAAAATTATAATTTTGGTTGGACCTAAAGTCGCACGATTTAATTTTATTCACAGTGCGAGTCGCGGCCTTGTGTGCTTGCGAACTTGCTCGACTGTGTAGTCTACTGACTCGCGCAACAAAGGGTTGTTATGCGATTCTGCTTGACTGTAACGTAGCTGCGCTTGTTGTTTGATGTAGTCCCTTAGGTAAGGGATCTCAAGGTCTCTGTGAAGGGTCTCGTTGGAAACATACCATGCGGCGTTAGTGATTGTAACACCAAGCCGCACTTGCGTAAGTGATCGCTTGTCTAATAACCATCTTGTATAGTCGAACTTTGTTGATCACACTTAATTTTGATGTTCTACATAGCATAGGGTAGAGTTGCCGAAACGAGATTTGGAATTTAGTTTTTAATGCTTCAGTGTGCTTCTGCCAGGTTATCCCCTTGTCAAGAGTGATACCGAGATACTTAGCAGAGCTTTCCCATGGTACCCGAGCCCCATTCACTGAAACCTCAGACCGGGCGCCGCTACGTTTTTTAGTACAATAGATTGCCTGCGTTTTCGAATGATTAATTTTGATCAGCCACCGATTCGCCCATTCCAATACCTCGTCCACTGCACTTTGCAGCCTGTCGTGAACTAGATCCCCAGAGCACGACTGGGCCACCAGGGCAGTGTCATCAGCATAGAGATAGGTTTCACAGCTGCTGAGGCAAGGGACGTCATGAATAAAAAGTGAATAAAGGACTGGTCCAAGAACAGAACCCTGAGGGAATTCCACGCTTTTGGCGGGGTCGAATTATTTTATGAAAACTGTGAAGTGTCTCGAAATAAGGATGGCTATACTGTTACGTTAAGCTATAGGTTTATTGACATCCACCATCTACCCCGGAAAATTTGAAGGAAAGGATTAAGGATGCTTTTCTGAACATGAGAGAGCACATGCTGAGGGATGTGCAACGGTCATTTATCCAACGGCTACGGCTGTGTATTCAACATGGTGGAGATATTTTCGAGCAATTTTTGTAGATTAGGTCTTGCGTAGTTATAGTTGTTTGTGTATGTTGTTGTTATAGTTGTTATTCTCTATTACACTTGAAGCTGATTTATACTGTTCTGATTGTTATTAGTTTTTACGTCAAATCTGTACTCTTAGTGGCAATATGGAACTATCCCACTGTTTGACTTTTGCTTCCATCTACGATTTGATTTTTTTCCTTAATTTTGGTGTGTTGTTCTATTAAAAGCTTAATTACTGATTTTAATTGAATCAAACCTTATACCAAAAAAAGCTTATAAAAAATTGAATCCAAACTTGCACAAATATACAGGGTGATCCATTTGAAGTTTTTGAGAAAAAGTACAATTCGCGTTTTTGACCACCCTGAATGAGCAAAAATGAAAATTCGAAAAAGTAACAAATAAGATAAAATCT